TAAATATAAATAAAGTAAAATTAAGAATTAAAGTAGTTTGTAAATTATTTAAAATTAAAAAAATCCACATAATCATCTTTTATATGATTGATTTTCCACCTAATATTGAAAATGTAAAATAATCAATCACTTAACGAAAAAATTAGTTACATCAACATTTAACTGATGGAAAGATGAAATTGAAAATTGAAGTTGAAGGATGTTTTTGGTACATTCAAAAGCTCAAGGATGAATTGGTTGAAAAACAAAAGTTGAGGGATCAATTTAGATATTTAACCTAAAAAAATATGTTAACCACGTCAACATCACTATTTAATTAATCCTTAAATAGAAAAAGTTGAAAGTTGACATCCTTAAATAGAAAATGTTGAAAGTTGACATCCTTATTTAGAAACTGACAAAGTTAACATCCTTATTTAGAAAAAAATTAAAAGTTAACATCCTTATTTAGAAAAAAAATTGAAAGTTGACATCCTTAATTAGAAACTGACAAAATTAACATCCTTAAATAGAAAAAAGTGTAAAGTTAGAATCCTTATTTGCACCTTTACTCCGGAACGTGGGGATCATAAGTGAGGCATCCTGAAAAAAACAAAGAGAGGGTAAATAGAGTAACAGAAGAATTAGGTAAAATTAATCTGAAATTTTATGTGCAGATTTGGCTTAGAATATCTATAGGGCATTTCAACAACCAACTGATGGACACCAAACTAAGATAATAGGTGGAAGCTGTTGTTCCATTCGATCAAGTATTGATAATTAGTAAAATTCAATCAAGTAATCGCAAAATTAAAAAAATTAACAGATAAATAATGAGTATAAATTAGAGATAAATAACTCCATTAAAGGTAAAGTAAAATCAGAGCCACATCTATAGGAACAGCTGATGGGAACCAAAGAGGAAAAGAAAAATCAATGCCACCCGTGATCAACAAAATAATGCATCCGGTGGTCCCATTTTTGTGGAGGTATTCATTCCAGTCACATGGGAGAACAGAATAAAATCAATTCATGATCTTGCATGGGAGAACGTTTTTTTGAAAGTAACTGCTTAGGGCTAGTGGCCTGTATGCATGCTCTATAGTGGAGACACTAAAATTGGCAGACTAATCTCTAAAAATATGTGCAATCTTGACAACACATGAAGTTTGATTTTTTTGGAGTATCGTCAGAAGTTGGAGTAGTTGGTTTTTTTTTTTATTATTATTTTACAAAAACAATAGTTAGAAGTTAAAAGTTAGGTTACTACCTTACTCTTGGTAAGGTTCGATTACTGATTAAGAGTGCAATCCACTGGCAACCCTGTTGGGCTGCAGTGGTCACCAATGAACCACAACAGGGAAATGCAAGTTGGAGTAGTTGGTTGATATATATATATTTTTTTTTGACAAGGGTAATGGTTAAGAAATTAGTATGAGTTAATTGTTAGCAACTGGTTCTCAGACCAAGTGAACATTCCACCTCCTCAAATGAAGCGCGCGGCCATCAGTCCGCATTTTGGTGGAGTTCATGATGGTGGTGGAGCTCGAAACTCCGACCACCTCACCCAAACACTTAAAGCTTGGGATCGAACTATTGGACCTAAAGGCCCGGTTTAGTAGTCGGTTGATATGGTAAAAATATGAATTGATAAAGATAGACTAGTGACAGTAGATTTTTTTATCTGAAGTTAAAAGACTAATGACAACAGATTGGAGAAGCAAATTTCGAAAATGTAAATAACACCATTCACTCCACTCTTCCATGAATTATAATGAGTGTGGGTTGATTTTTCACTCCCCCTATCTCTTATTACCATCCTACTAATAATTAATTTATTGAGATTTATGGTACCTCTAATTAATTTTAATTTGTTAATACTCCATCCAACTTTTTAGGAATGCATCTTATACATTTTAACGAGTGAAAAGAAATCTCGATGAATTTTTTTTGAATAAAGTATAATTTACAAGAATAATTCAAGCACCTATCAAGTAGTCAATAAATTAAAACTTCAAATAAATTAGTAACTTTATTAAATTAATCATAAATTACAAGACAATTAATATTGAGGACCAACTTTAACTCAATTAGTAATCTTAATATCTAAAATGTTTGAAAGGAGTCAAGTGATTCATTTAATTTCTGGGTGGTAATAATTGCCATTTGGCAATCTATAAGGAATTAATATTTTATTACCTCAAAAAATAAAGTATAATGCTATACAAAACTGTAACAAAGTGTATAACATAAATTATAAAATGTAATATTGTAAGTACATATAAATAAAATAGACTATCATTTTGTAATTATATGGATTAAGTATTCTTATATTTGTATTAATAAAATTACCATTGGAAAAAAAGTAATTATAAAATATAGATGAGCTCTTAATATTAAAATTTATATATTCGCTATTTAATTATTTTTATTTTATAGTTAAAATTACAAAATAACTAACCCTTGTCGCGTTGTAAACTGTTCATTCCCAATCTCCCCAAAGCCAAAATCAATTGAATTTAGCCTCTGAAAGTATATTCAAAAT